AACCCAAAACAAAATCCCCTCAAAACCCCATCAAACCACAACACTGTAGTAACTGCCACATCAAATTTGGACCGAGCACCTCATTTTGCCTGGAACTAACATTGGCTTTTTTCAAAATACAGGAAGCTGTGCAGCTGGAGCATGATCCACAGCATTGGAGGGGTCTGCTGAAAGTAGGATACAGACTGTTTCCGTTTCAGAAATCACTGCTCTCAGAGTTAGCTTCATTTTCTTGGGTTTTTGGGAAACAGTGCTAGTCTCTTAAATAAAGCAAACATAAAATACTGCTATAAAAGGAATAAGCAACACTTCTCTCATGTGGGGAAAAGAGGCATCATTGTTGCAGGGAACTGGCTTTTAAAAATCTGTTTGCTATGGTGCTCGAGGCTGTTTGCTTTGTGTGACACCAAAGTGAGGACTGGTTGGTTTCTTCTCCTCCAGACGCTGTAAAACCAGAGCTGTCATCTACTTCCAAGATTGGTTTAATTTTTCAGTTTACTCTTTGCCTGACTTTACTGGCAGAGCATTGGTCAGGGTTGGTACAGGAATATAACTACCTATGATCTCAGCTTCATAGATTACTGCACAGTTACCTTTTTATGTACATTGCCCTTTGATACTGTCACTCCTACTGCTTAGAAGAAGGAACAAAATCTCTTGAATTGCAAACTAGGTGCAGCTGGAGCTCTAAAAACCTTCTTCTAGTGCACCTCTTGATTTTAATAATCGGTGTTGCTTTCCAACAATTATGATTTTTTTCTTTTTAAACAAGACAATTAGAAAACATAGTGGTGGTACTCAGAATGAGTCTTGAGTTATTTAGTTCCACTCTCAATAAAACAGCTTTCAGAGGACTTAACTTTCTTGTTCAAGAAACAGTTCAAAGAAAACTCTCATGTTAAGTTACAGGATCATCTGAAAGAGGGTTAGTATCAGGCAAATTACCCATCATTTTCTCATGCTGCACGTGAAAGGTAGTCACTGACAATGTCAGCAGAGAGTGAAAGAGCTGTCAAATTCAGGGGAGGGCTCTCTAACCACAGACAATGCAGGATTGTCCTTGCCCTCCTTTTCCCACTGCTGCTCAACTCCTACTATCTACTAGCAATGGAGTGTGTACAGCTCGCTGCTAATTAAGTTATTCTAACACAAATTGACTTAATCCTAGAGCTTCCGTTTTTCCCACCTCCAGTCAGCAGAACCCAGTTTTGTTGCCATGGCATAATCTTGTAAAGGAAAGGAATTTAAATAATGCCACCGGCTGTGCATGACCCTTGGCCACTCAGTGCATCATCTGGAAATGTGTAACTGCAAATGAGGAGGCAACCATCCCAATGCTTCGAGGGCTCAATAAACTGTTTTGTACATACACATGAGAGGTGGCAGATAATGTGAACAAAAGCTGCCACCACACAAGACATTGGGAGGAGTAGTCATGGAAAACTTATAAAAGGGTGTGTGTGTTCGGGTGCGGGTGAGTGTGCGAGAGACAGCGAGGGAGAACCCTTCCCACGAGAAAAAAGAAAACAGAGCTGCTCCTTTGCAGACTGCAAGCCAGATATTCAGACAGCACGGCTACACGGGCTTCAGCTAAGTTATTCTAATTTATACTGGCTGGATGACTTTGCCTGATAACATGAAATAAAGCCTTTCCGAAGCGACGCAAGATTTTATTTGGTAATAGCTAATACAGGAGCCACGTATCTGGTATGACAAAATGAGCAACCGGCAGACTTGTTCTATGCCAGTCGCTCAGTAATAAACTGTTAGAGGCTTTCAAATCTGAGTTAGTCCTCTCCTGCACACAGAAACCGTCTCCAAAATCAACACTGGATTTTCTAAAACAAGTAAACAAATAGAAAACCCCAACCCAAGCCTAGCAACTCCAAACCAAAAACTATGAATGTTTAAGCATTTGTTTTGATTGCTTTTCAGATAATTGGGTACAAACATTAACTCAGCATCACTGTATTTCAATGTCTAAAAAAACCCATGAAAGCAACATCTGATATGACAGCTAAGGGACTTATGTTAGCTTCAGTTTTTAATCAATCTTGCTACAAAACTCTTTGAGAAACACCTTCAATCGTGTACAAATTTGCTTCAGTGTCTAGATTTACTACTACCTCTAAAGGAGATGCAGTACTGCAGTTATAAACTTTCATTCACACTAGTTAACCAAGGATGACTCATTTTCTGAATTTTATTACTTAAAGATAAAAATGACCTTTGAATTTTACCTAGTATTACATAGGCTTCTCAGCCCAGCAGGGATTTCATTCAGTTACACGTGGAGGGGGAAAAGAATATGTCAGAGTTTCTGAGTTACCAAAGTGTAAGAAGATTTTTCTTGTGCTTGTGTAAGTACAAAACAGATCAGGTCTTTATTCTTTTTCGTAAGTTGCAAGACCCTAGAAGTATATGAGCACTCTCACTGTAGTAAACTGTTTTATAAAAATATATAGTCACATAATACGTAAGAATGCATGTTTCACATCCCCCAAGTGTTAGCATTCTTTATATAATTTGTGCATACAGTGGTTTCATATCCCAAAATGTTCTGCTGGGTTTTCCTGCTGTAATGCCAGTTGCCTGGGCACTGCAACAGTCTAATTGCGTCAATCTCAGTCTGGGAACAAACTATGAATACAGCAGAGCAAAATCCACAAAGCGGATTTACCACCTTCTCACTGCAAATGATTTCCTAATTTAAAGGAAAACAAATAAGGAAAGCAAAGGGAACTCGGCCATGAAAAGGAGGAAATCCTGCCACAACTTTTCAAACCCCTTCAGCCTGCTTCCCCGCCCTTCTCATTATCACACTAAATGCAGCAAAAACACTAATCCCTGAGATCAGGCAGAGTGCAGGGAGGCCTTGCTGTGGGGCTGGCTGCTTTTTGTGCTCTACAACCAACACCATGGCAGCTCCCATGGAAGGATACACGCTCTTTGCCCAGACTTGACGCAAGGGCTTGGCATGAGTAAGAACCCAGAGCTCTGGCACCTCACATGAATTAGCCTATGTGAGAAACCTGAAGAAGCTGCATTTAGCCAGTACAGCAGCAACACCTGGGTACGGGAACAGGTAGAAGTGTGGTTGTCTACCAGCCAGGGACATGAGTGAAAACGGCTCTCAGCGGTCCTGCTGGTGTAATGCAACTAATTACTTGGTGCCAAGTGGAGATTGACAGGCAGATTTATAACACAGGACACATCTGATCACCCACAAGATGGAGAGAGGCTGTTGGAGAAGAAAGACAGGCAGCTCCTGGCTGCTGCCAAGGGCTCTGAGGACAGGGCTTGTGGTGAGAGGCTGCCTGTTCAGCAGCTGTTCCCTCTCACCTCCTGGCCATCCCACCCGCCACTTCTCCCATCTGCAGCAACGGCTTGGCTTTCTGCAGCTGGTCCCAAATGGGATTTGGGACCAAGAGCTCCTAAACTTGACTACCCATCCTTGCTAATCTGGACCCTTACCTCCTTCAGCCTGCATCCATCAGGTAACCCCCATTCTAAGATCATCAACCTCCTTTGCTAGCAAAAAGGCAGGGAGAGGAAGTGTTAATGTCTGATCTGTGCCAGGTTGGCAGTGGTATAAATTAGTGTAGCTCCACCACCAGTATGGCACTCATGGCGCCATGCTATTCAACCTGAATGGGTGGCTCCAAGTGCAATTCTGATAAAAAGGCATGTGCTTGTATCGGCACAGTATAGCTCTCCAAAAAGATCCATACACCAAATTCAATTAACCTTACTGAATACAACAAAAGAACAGCAGCAAACATGTTTGCCTCTTTTCTGTCTTAAGACATTAAAAACACGCTTAAACCAGCAATGTTACAGTTTAATAACTCTTATCCCAATATGCATTTGTGCATCAGCAGAATCGTTCTCTAACACACGTCATTAATGGTGTGCACAAACAAAATTACAGGATGAGGACAAATTCCCTCCTCCATGGGACTAAACAATCTCTCTGGCATCTTCTCTGCTGCTGAGGCAAGGCGTAGTCCAAAAGGAGGTGGAGGTGTGTTGACCTGAAATGACTGTCTCAACACCTCACAAAACTGAACCTCAGCTGAGGTTTCCCATGTGTTTCACTAACAGGCTGCAAAGCTGTCTCTGAGCGCGAGAAAATCCTGAAAATAAATTGAAAAAGAACTCAGAATATCCCTAGTCTTCTCCTTCCTCCTCTGAAAGCAGTAAGGGAGGAGCAGCAAAGCACGGGACTACTGACCTAGCAGCAACGTAGAGGGTCCTGTTCATGACCACGACCAGCTGGATGTCCAGCCGGTGCCTCTGCGTGGTGTTCCGCCCGGGTTTGTGACCCACAAACACCGGATATTGTCTTGTATCTGTGGAAGGGGGAAAAACCAAACAGGGTCAAAAGAGAATCACAAACTGAAATAGTACTAACATGGAGCACCATGGGGCCCAGCTGCAGCCAGCTCCTGTGGTTTCTGCTCTGCCCCAGCAGCACAGCCTGGAGTTGGAAGGCATGAGCACAGAGGACTGGAGAGTTCTTCAAGGTTACAGCCGTCTTTGCAGCTGCAAAGGAAAAAGTCATCACCTCTGCAGAAGACAAAAATTGCAAGGGTTTTTTAGATTGTAAAGCTGTTCTGGAGCTCTTGGCACAAAGGTACACAGCCCTTTCTCACAGTTTTTCCTTCACTGTTTGCAAAGCTTAAATGCTTGCTCCTGGTTGCCAAAGTGCGTCTAGCAGCACAAAGCTGTTCCACAGTGGTCCACCAATCACGACAATGACCGGACTGGTAGTGGTTAAAGCAAAAGACTTGGCTTTCCTTGGTTCAAACTGCCAGCTCCCTGCGTTTCCTACAGGATTGGACTGCCATCGTAGAACAGCTGTGGGGATTTCTGAGAAACGGTGGGAAACCGTGACTTGAACTTTATAATGTGAAAGTCACTGCATATTATTTGGCAACCAGTCTGATACTCCAGTTCTTCTGGCAGCTGGACAACAATACTGATTGGAAGCCCTATACTGAGCTTACGCTATTGACAAGTCAGCTTTCCCCCTACACAGTCTACCAGGAAGAGCATTTATTCACCGTGTTTCCATGAATTTTTTAATGAGACCTCAGCACACACAGCGTGTGCTGCTGCTCCCCAGCTGTGTGCTATAGGCTGTGTGTACAGCCTATAACAACAATGAATACTTCTGACCAAGGGCCACCTTGCTGGTAGACTTCACGTGTATACATAATCATGACATCTAGATGCACAAACTAAGGCGCTTGTTAAGTAAACAAAATGACAGTTAGAAAAAAGGAGGATAAACCTCTGATGAGCATCATCATCAACACAAAACTGCTGCATGTGCATGTTATATAGACCTGACTAGCATCTAGCTGTGCCTGAGCTTTTTCCCCATCAATATGCCTTCCCAGAAACCTGGAGCTGTTTGAAAGAGTCTATTTCTTCTGATACTCACCTACTGTTTTAGTGGTTTTAGCTATTGTCCTCTAAAAGTATTTTCTCTATTAAGCTTGGTCAAAGTATTGATTCACATCATGGCTTCAGCAAAGCACCCAGGAGTGCCATGTGTCAGAAAGCCTGGTGATAAAACTGGGTAGAAACAGGAACTTCCCTGCGACCCAGATACTGAGAACTCTTGAAGAGACAAAATAAGACAGGCCAGGCAGGATTTACATTCAGAAGCTTAATCCTTCTGACCAAGTCCTACATGCAATGCCAAGTTCAACTGTCAGGCTGTTCTCTGTCCAGTACCAGTAGTTACCTCTGTAACTCACGGATCTATCATGAGCTGGGGGCCTGTACATTCATGTGCATTTCAGCATGCCATGCTGCAGAGGAAGAAGCTATCCCGTGTTCCATTTCTCCAAAAGGATCAAGACTGGCTATTTCTGCATTTGCAAGGATGGTTAGCATCACCCTTCTGGAGGGTGAAAATATTGGTGCTAAAGACCCAGTGGTCACACTAGACGTGTTTCAGTAGGGTTTGCCTCAGAGCAGTTCTTCTATCCCAGATGCCTATTAGCATCTGGAACACATCAAGTATGTCCCTGGAGTCTGTCTTTTGGTTTGGTGTTACCTAAGACAGACAAGTTAACAGGTGTCAAGGGCACCCCAAAGCACTGTAAGCAATGACAAGCAAGAAATTCACTTTAAAATAAAATTTCTGACCCAAAGTAGGCTGAAACATAAGCCTACTAATTTCTGTCTTGCTACTCCTTAGCATACTTCCAAAAGTATGACCCAGGCACTAAAGACTTCCTTTTAAACATCTGAACCTTTGGGACTTCATAAGACTTTTCTTTGTTGTAATTGTAATTGAGCTGAGGTAAATGTGAAAGAATCAGTTATGCTAAGCCTGACTTGCATGGCAAAATGCACTGAAAGCTCTCCACCTGTTTAGCCAGCAAGTCTCGACACTGATTCACAGCTGTCTGTGTTACCCTAGAGTTTGGAGATTTTGGCAATTACTGCTGGTAAGAAAGAAGACAGATTCTGTTACAAAAGATTCTTTGTCTTGATTTGGTTTTTTAGCTACATTTCCAGCTTAGCAAAAAATGCCTAATGCTAAAGAGGAATCCACCAGAGCTTAAAGGAGTAAATTCCATTATTTGTATTAGATCAAGAAATTATGTTTTCAAAGCTCAATTACTTTAGTGTGCTATGCTTGATGCTCTGAGGTACTTCATCGGTTATCCAGAACTACCTTTCCACAAGTCAGGTGAGGGATACTTTGATTATGGGACAAGGAAGTGGGGAGAAGGCTTTTGTCCTTTGTTGCTGCACAGAGCAAGATACTTGGTTTGATTATGCTACGGAAATGTCTATTTGAGAAGGAGGAAAGCCATGGTTCTGGAAGTTCAAGCAGTTTTCCACCCAGTAGTTGTAAGTCAATGTGAAAAAGTCATGTTCCTATATTAGTACCTGAGATTGTTAACTGTCTGATCTAAGATATTCATTGCATTCAACAAAATACTGGTGAAGTCCACTGATTACGCAAATGAGTCCTCTGGCCTCTTATACTTACAGTTGCCATGCGAAATACTGATTGGCTCAGAATCTTCTGGGAAACCAGCCCCAGCAAAGTGTAGCAGTGTGAAATATAGCAGCAAGGCTTCTGACCTCATAGTAGTTCAGCTGGGAGGCTTCACTTCTTCACTTCACCCTGTGGAAGACAAACAAGGGCTTAAGCACCTTCTGTTGGTTCGGTTTTAACCACTGCATACAGAAAACTAAAAGGAGTCAATGGAAAGCAGAGGGAGCTTTCCGTCTCCTTAAGCATCTCACCATACCTGAGGAGGTATGCCATGTTTCTAAGCAGAAACTGCCCTACCACACCGGTTTCCCTTTAGCCCAGGCCCCAACAGTACCCCATCTTGCTTGAAGATAGACTTCATTATCTGTAAGTTACAAAGAATTTTCTGCCTCAATTGCTTATATGCAATAAAGAAACTTAATCTCCTACACTGATGGACAGCTGACAAGGGTTTTCTAGGAAATGTATTATTTTCCCCTTCTTTGGTTTACATTATTAGATGATGATACAATGACACACACCATAAATAAAAAAACCCACACTATATTATTCTGGTTAAAAAGAGATTAAGGGCTATACTATGAGCCCGATTCACACCCTGCAGAGTTGTGAATCAAGTGAAGAAACACTGAGAGAGTTTGGTGAAGCATGTATAACACGTTATTGGGCTTTACCATAAAAATATGTACCCATAAATCTAGGTGCCATAAAACCAATACTCCAACTTGCAATAAAATAAGGGAGAACAGAACTGTCTAAACCCAGCACTTTTTCCCCATGTTCCACTGACGCATTCACTCACTCACATTCATGTACGAAAATATCCCTAAATCTTGAAGATAAAAGGAACCACAGGGGCCTCTGGATACAGTGAAAGAAAACAGCACATAATACAGTAAATAGCTCATAATTCCCAGGCAAATTTCACAGAGACGTTGACCTGCAGGGGAAATTAGTGTAAAAGTGGGGTTTTCTTTTCATCCCTTCCAGAGTTTCAAACCTTTGATGCCGCCTGCCAAAGATCCCTTTTGAACAAAACTATTTTACAGTACCCTGTCAGTCATTCAAGATTTATGGGCAGAAAGTCAAACTTCATAACCTACATAGTCTTTGAAACTTAATTTGGCAAACAAAGTGCTAACTTGCCCTTCTGCAACACCATTTAATATTAGATACCTATGTCTCCTTTCTGAGTGCCAAAAAAAGCATTAACAAGTCTGGAGTGTTGCATTTTCATTTGTAATTTCATAGACACAGTTGATTCCTCATCTTTTACCCAATTCTAAAATGTCCCAATAATTAATTTGTTTTATCAGATATTTGCTTTCAAATGAAATTTTAGCTCCTATAACTGGATTGGAGTAGGGACTCCATTTTAGGGCAATACAGTCCATAAGGACTAGTAATTATACTCTGTGTTTGCCTATTGCTATTCAAACATACAAATTGGAAACTTGGCTGATTCTCTGCATCTATCAACAAAATAACTGAGGCTGAGTTAGACCGAGACGAGAAAAAATAAAATTTAATGGAAGTCAATGACTGACACCTTAACTGAGCAAAGTGTCAGACGGATGGCAAAAGATAAAAATAGCAATAATAAATGAAACACAATGCAGGCACTGTCTATTATACCTTATGTGAGAATGCATACTAGAAGATAGTACATACAAGCCCCAGGAGAAGCATTTCTATCTAGCACTGGTTAGGCCGATAGCTATGTATGATTACTGACAGCTGTGTCTGCCTTCAGACACTTTCTTTACCTCTTTCCTTCATTTTTCTCTTTAATCACCTCTTACATTTTCTCTTGACTCCTAGCTGTCTGGGGCAGGCACTGTTTCTTTCTATTCGTTGCCATCTGGGGCCCTTAGGAATGCCCCAGGTAGAAATAAGCAGCAGAAGTAAATATAATACTTGGAAACATACTTTCCCTCAAAAGGTTTGAATTAGAAGTAAGATATACACATTACAGGGATTAATTCCTTCCTCTCTATCCAATTTTTCAAGATGTAATTTTGCTGCAAGTACACTGCAAAGTGACAAAACATAGTGCCTTATCTTCATTTACAAGTAGATTGAAATTCTTGACGCCTTGAAATTATTACAGTCCAATGCAAAATTCTTCTCTGAAACTCACATGAGGAGAAACAGTTTAATGGGAAGAACTTATCAAGCAATCCAATTCTTCCACTTAAACCATATTCATCCGCAGTATCAGCCTGCAGGCTGTTGATTCAAAGCACTTGGCTCACAGTGAGACTCTGGAGCATAAGAATAGCTTCTCTCTGTTACTCCCTTTCAGCACATCATCCACCATCTAACAGTGTGTGTACTCCATGAGGAAAGCATTACAGTACTGAAGACATATTGCTGCCACTCCCCTTTACAGCTTGAAAAACTTTTCCCATGGGTGATTTTGCACTATCATTCCCTACTTCTCATTCAGACGTGTACTGCTCCATGTAAATATATACGGGGGACACCTTCCAGCAAAATGAACAATGCCCAGCACGCTTACTTTGTCATCTTACATACATGTGATCAGGCCAGATCTTTTTAATTTTACCTGAAAAGAATTAACTGACAAATGAACTGACATGTTGCCTTCTAACAAAGACTAGGTAAGTAGGTTTTCAACTACATGAAATTCTCTTGTCATTCGTAAGGATAGTTTCTGGGGAACAAAAAGGGAGAAGAGAGAAAAAAAGCGTAATTCTATGCTGCTGTAGTGTTAACATAATAGTTCAAATTTGTAAAAGTATTGGCAAAATATCTGCTTTGATCTGTCAATGATTCAAGTGGACTACACATCTGTATCAGTGCCGGTGCCAATAAAGTAACATCAAGTAGGACTCAAGGTGCATCCAAAGGCAGCTTTTTACTAGGAAGTAATTATTCAAACATAAAGTTACTTTTGCTGTTCTTACAATGGTGGAAAGAGCCATACTGTTTCAGTGGAATTTCAGAAAAGTGCTGATTCGAGAAGGTCACACTTATTTTTAGTATATGTCTCCTTTTCAGCAAATACTCAGCTTTGGTTGGGCTCCTGGGAGTGACGCAAATGTTCTCACTTGCAACTGTGCTGAAATGACTTTCTAATCAAAAGTGCTTGTGAACACAGTGTCTGATGAAACATGAGTGACTAGGCTGTGATGTCGAGCAAGTCCAGGCACTGTCTCCAAACAGAAGTTTTGCAAACATCAGTGGAGAGATCTTCAGTCAATGTAGACCACTGCTGTTCAACCTGGCCTGCATTAAGCCATACTGGTTGAGGAGAACTTGCTGTGAGAACTTCAGTTCTCCCCACTCGAAACATGATCGCTGCTCCTGTTGGAGGAAACTAATGGTAACAAAAAGAGCAAGTTTTTGTGGTGTTCATTTACTAGCAGACATGCTAATAAAATACAGCACTGCAAATATTAAGAGCATGTTTTATAACCTATGTCTAATGCAATGACTTGTAGCCATTTAGTAGGTGGAATAGATGATAGTTCTTCCAAGTGTCAAACTCCTAACTAATCTGATTCTTGCATGCCCAAGACCAATACAAATATAACTTTATGCAAGACAGTCAAGATACTTCGGTGCTCTGATTCTTCTTTCTGAAGCTGATGGCTTCAAATACCTATGTAAGATGACTTGTTTGGTTACTTTCATGCTCCTTCCTTTTTGTCATACGCTATGATTAAATATAAGTAAACCATATCTCTTAATGTATATACAAATTAAAGTTTTGCCTTCCTAGATGGAATAAGCTTTTCTTTTTGTACACTGTATCCCAAAGGTGAACCACCTCTAAATATGACACTTGGATACTAGTGCAATATAGTTGCTATTACTATTATATTTATTCACTCAAAGCCTATGTATAAATATAAATATAGATATAACTATTCATATACCCCTTCACATACATAGATGCTTGACATAGAGGCATTTAATTTTATAAAAATCATGTTACTGGCATGATGGGAGTTTCTGAAGCTAAGAAAGTAGTGATCATTCCAAAACAAGGAGAAAAGTCTAATTTTTCTGTGCCAAGTGCCTCCCACTACGGTGATCCATGCCTGTCTGAGCCAACAAGAGGCCACCACGATGAGCTGTGCATTTTGCTGTCTGGTATTTTTAGCATTTATTGAACAACACTCAGGGTGGCAGCGCATACAGAATAACTGCTTGGCTATTCTATAGGAAATGATTACATGGCTGCTGCCATAATACCCTAGTAACCAGGTTATTGTATCCACAGCTTCTGAGTTCCAGCAAGGTCATACAAATTGCAAGAAAAATCTTAAATGGAAGAGCTAACTTCCTGGTAAACTTCAGAAAACAGTAAGGCTAGATTTCATCTTGAGAACAAATTCAACTGCAACAGCAATGACTGCATTGGTATATCTATAAATAATATTGAGAGGAACATTTTTCCATGTTAGAAAACCTTCCATCTTGTTGCTTTGGACTCACTGTATGTTCAGCTAACCCCAGTGTAATTCCAAGTAAAATCCAAGTATGTAACCATGTCAAAATTTTCCCATGGCACGGTAAGCCTCCTCAGTAATGGGACAGATCTTGTTATATTCATTTATTACAAACCTTCTTTATACCATGATGGGTTGTGTTCATACACGACAGCTGCACTTCGATCCACAAATTATTAAGCTTAATGTGAAAATTACCAGATAAAATTCAATGGTCTGTGTTATGCATGAAGCAAGACCAGAAAACTAATGAACATAAAAAAACATGACTGTCTTCAGCAAATTCTTTTGTTTCTACAAACATGTATAAATAACTTATTCTTCAAAAAGATAGTCTAGTGAGAAGGAACAGCATTTAACCAAACAGTGAGGAAACTAAAAACTGAAGCCAGGTGAATTTGAATTACTGCATAAGGAAAAATGCATGACCAGAAAAGTAGCGGCCTCTGTGAACTGACCCTGGAAATACTCAGCAAACAGCCATTCTCACCACATTCAGCATTTCTGGGAAAAACAAAAGAACCACAAAAAAGCAGGAAAGAAACCAATTTGAGTTGCAATAACAAAGGTAACAAAAAGATTTGAGATTCTTTTGTGGTAAGAGCTTTGAAGGCAAGCAAGTGAATCAGAAACCCAAATCCTACTTCAGT